ACACACACACACACACACACACACACACACACAGAGGAAAAGAGAGAATGATTTCTGTCCAAAAAATCTGCTTAGGTATGTGTACAGTTTATGCAGCACAGATTGTTTACAAGTTTTCTGCTTCTGTGATACACAAAGTGTTTCAGGGACAAAAGAGGCACTGTAAGAAATGACATCGCAGCACTGCATTACTGAGGGCAGCAAGCTGCCACTTTACAACTCACACACACTGGTCCTCACCATATTCACCGAAACGCAGAGAGTCCCACTGCCTCCACTCTACAATCGCACTGACGGCTCTCACCCCAGCATAGATCAGCAACATGCCCAGAGAAGCATCCAACAGGAAGTTAATGAGGTATCTGGGAGAGACAGAGGAGTGAATGTCATTGTAAATCGGCAGTCAGAGCTTTCCTACCGGACAATCTGATGATTCACGATGTCTAGAACTTTCAAAGACAGGATTGACTCACAGAGAGCAAGGATCCTCCTCTGTGAGGTCTGACAGGTAGACGTTAGCAAAGTGGATAAACAGCATCCCAATGGCCTGTTTTGATGTGTCCAGGAACCTGCAGAGAGAGAGACAGACAGGACGGTTCATATGCTCCACAGGATTCATTTGATGCCTTAGCTGAGAAATGATGTTAAGTCGGCTCAGCCTTACCAGATCCTCCAGGGTCTCCGCTCATGTTTTGGCTCCCTGAAGCGTTTCACTGTGGAGAAAAGAGATGGTGGGATTTTAACACAGATCACTCATGAACACAGAATCAATCAAACAGGATATCTTTTGTTTGTATTTAACCGAGTTACAACCCTCAGGCGAGCTGTTGTGGGTCCAATGAGCATTTCGTTGGTTTTATAGGAGGCTGTTTGTTTGGTTCCACTGAAAATCGTACCTTCAACTGTGCATATTTATGCTTTGGAAATGAGGGCTGACGTTCCCCTCTGTGCAGTTTAACCATCACACAACATCAACAGTCTCCCATCGAACCTACGTGAAACTGCATAGCATCTATTTGTGAGACAGACTGCACAAAAACAGGCTAATGGCAATATGTTGTTGGTCACAGAGGAAGCAGAACTAACGGCCCGAGACCAGAACCTGCAACACATGACCTACTACGCTGTGAAATGATTAATCTGATCCCCATATTTGCAGTTCACTGCTAAGTTTACAGGAAACAGAGACATGTTTCATTTTTAAAGATGGCCAAAAGGGAGAAGTGGAGCAGACTCTAAATACTGTACTTCGGTGTTACATCACAACCTCACCAAGTTAAGAAACATAGAAGGAATAAAATGACAAAGATTGGGCTGTTTGTGTAACAAAGATAACAAACTCTACAATTTGCTAAATGTATGAATGTGGTGCCTAAATTATGAGCTTCTTAGAAGACCTCACTGTAATTAATCCCTGTGTGTAAAGGAATAACAAGGGTTTAAAGCGAGAAGGCTCACAGTGTAACGCAATTGCGGCTTGTTTTTCATGACACTACCATCTCCTTTTATCTCCTACACAAAGCTGCATAATGAGAGAACATTTTCTAACATCAGACACATCATCATTAGAACATCGTCGTTCAACGCTGTGATACCTCAGCTGGACTATTACCTTCTGCACAAGTCCCTTACTTAACAAAGAGAACAATCTCCCCTCTCACTAAATACTGTGGTGTCGCCCCAACCATTTACTCAAGGCTTTTTGTGTTTTCATGCAGGCGAGCTACACTGTGACCTCAGTTTCTGCTTTGAGCTTAAGTATGACTTCAGACTAAACACACCCTGTGTTCAGCTGGGTGTGATGTGAATGGAGGCAGAGGCCTCCTCCCTTCTGCTCAGAGAGAAAAAAGAAAGTCTAAAATGCTGAACATTCCTCATACCTGTGAAGCTGCTGGGACACACACAACTGAAGGTGCTCTCGTTAGGTCACACAGCTGTCAGTGCTGACCGAATTTAACCTAGGCTTAAGCCAGAGTGTGATTTTTCTGTGTGTGCAATGCAGTATGTTCTTGAAATGCAGACTTACCAATTCTTCCATAACACTCCCAGTAAAGAGAGAGGATAATGATGTTTTTTTACTGTGAAGCAGCTGGTAATGTATCTTACTTCGTAAAAAGTTTCTCTTATATCTACTATGGAACAGTTTTTTTGTCTGCAAATCAGTATTACACAAATTAATTGTTATTGCAGGCGCATATCACAGTTTGAGTGAGCATCAAGGTAAGAAACTGACATTGCTCCCCTGACTTCATTACTTTTTTTGAACAAACTGTGACTGCCATCTGCAAAACACAACTCCTAATCTCGTGTGAACCTCTCTCAATTTAACCTGAGGGACGGCACATATGTAGCAGGGAGGTTCAAACATGTGCAGGGAGGTGTGTAGAGAGTAAGCAGCTTTTATTAAACCCACAGCCAATAACTTCAACAGAAGAAGTCTCCCACCGAGCCTGCTGTATCTCTGTCTATCGTGTTATTGTTGTTGTTCTCCTGTAACAGACTCGGGCACGAGCCTCACAGCTGATATCAATAACAGAGTTTGATTAACTGAGTGATGCTATTGGATAATTGCCCGGTCACGTCAGTATGTGTCAGGTATGTGGTTGTCATACTCACACATCAGGGTGCTGAAAGCCACCACAGCCAGAAGTCCTTGCAGAAAAATCCCGAACGAGTCCATCAAGGCGCCGTTCTCGCACCCCCGGTTGTCTGTACCGGGCGTCGGAGTGGCGGACACCGACGTGTTGGCAATGGACACTGGTCCTGGACCCGCCAGCGCCACCTCTCCGAGCTGGGACAGCATGTTGACTCCAGCCATGGGACAGAAGAGCTGGAGGACGAGAACTAGCTGATTAAAAGCCGAGAGCAGTAGCTTTTTCACGGACTCCTTGTGTGCTTCCCCCCCAGTCCTCTCCAGCGACTGTTGGTCAGCTAATCGATATGTTCAGCTGGACAGTCCTCGGTGAAAGATGGTGGCATCCTCTGCCTTCCAGGCGCACACTCATCCTCCTGCTTCAGTCATAGCGGGTGTTGAGATTAAAGTAAAGCCACTAAAGGTTACTAGAAGTTGCAGTAACTGTTAAGCCTACTCGTCCACACACTGCAACATTAACAAATCAGTTGCTAATTTAGAAGGTCCGTGCAGCAGTGACCTGGACTATGATGGCTACCGTTAGTGTCAGACACGGCACATAAACGTGTCATGCAGCTACTTAAACAGACAAAACCAATGCTGTCACTTATTTAAAATGTGCTGCACAATGCAGGTCAACCAGAAGGGGCATTTTGCAGTTCCAGTGTGGGGAAAAAAAGGAGCTCCATCGGCTGATGCTATCATTGCTCACCTAGCTAGCTCCAAGCTAAATACTCAGCTGCATTTAGCTAACGCAAGGCTAGCACACATATTCAGTCTCTGGTGCTACAAACTACGGTTGCAGCGGTTTTTATTGTGACTCTAACGCTCGAAAAATATAGCTCGTCTTAATATACTTTAAAAAGGAATAATTGCAGGTCACGGTTTGCGTACATCCAGCTGCTTCCCTGCCCAACAGTGCCCACTCATGTTGACAGACGTCGGGTCACGTGGCCCACGTCCCTACGAATTGCATGCTGGAAAATGTATGACACTGCTGAACAAATAAAGTAAAACCCTATTGGAAAATTTCCTCATGATGCCTCAGTCTGTTAATAGCTGTATATATACATTTGTGTGTAACATAACGGTCCTTAAATCTTGTTTTAGTGTGTGTATTATACATCCTACATATGTTCTGCAAATGTTTGTTTGCCAATAAACACTAAGAGTCTGCTACAATTCGTTGTTCACAGTTTTAATTGCAGTCTTCTTTTTTTAAATAGCTGTTATCATTTTCAAATATGAATAAAAAGTTGTTCCACAAGCAAGTTAGTAAACAAAGACACTACGAAGTTTGTTTTTTTTTCCTCAAAAAAATGAAGCACATTACAGTAAATCACACTACAACTGGTAAAAAGAGGAAAAAACAGATTTACAGAAGTAGTTTGAGAATATTGTCTTTCTTTAAAACTGCACATGTATCATTAAGGTAATTCTTAAAAATGAAATGGTTCAAATAATCAACTGTTGCCTGATTAGTTTTAACAATACACCCCATATGAGAAAGTTCCGGTGTATTCTGTGCAAATATACTGTAGCTTATATTTAAGGGATTTACACATTGCTTATGCAGAAAGTTAATTGCTCCATAGTTTTTTTTTTTTTCTTTCTAATCACCCTGTTGCACTAAAAGATATTTGACTATATACACTATGTACAAACATGCACTCTCATATTTGCATACTACCAGGACATGGTTTTGCTTGTGCTTGCATTGGAGTCCTTACAATGTAAACTGCTCTTACATACTGTAGAAGCTAGAACAATAAAGCAATTTGATCTCTTGAGCTGAAGGCCCCCTTTATATCCGTTGTTGACCAGAGTGTATCTTAATTCAGTTGGATAACATTTGCAAATGATGTTAGTACAGTATACATTCCTGGTGTTCACACTAAAATCAAATTCCTTTCCTGGCAATGGGACACTACGACTGTTTTTCCAAAACTACCAGATGTATATCTAGTAGAATATTACCTCTGGCTTTCAAGCAACTTGAAAACTGTATTCGAGGCAACTTGTAGTTCTTTCAGTGTGCAAACAGTTATTTTCGTGATTGCTTAATTAATGGGCCAAACTATCTATAGAATAGATAAAAGGATAAAAACAAGTCTCTTTTTAAAACTAGAAAGCACAAAGCCAAAGCTCCACGATACAGCTCGGAGCTTGATTCTGTAAAAAACAACGTTTGTTTTTAAGTGTTTCTATAAAAGTAGGCTGTGTTTAGCCTCATCCACACCAGAAATGTTAAGCATATTCTCCACGAAATTAGACTTCAGTGTGAAAAACACTAGATTACGAGGCAAGACCACCTCATTTCTGACTCCAGCAGACATTTAGCAAGTGTTGACAAGCAGACACCAAATATTTTAGGCCTTAGTATGACAAGTAAAAGCTGTGATTCAGTGGTATCCACTTTCAGGGACAGCAGGGCAGGCTGGAAATCACAAGTGGCCGCAATGGACAGAGAAAGTTGTAGCATTGGCACTCATTCATCCGCATAAATAAAAGAGGAGAATCGGAGCCACTCTGAAGACACAATAAGTTAAGAAGCCTTCATTAGGACAGAGCTAAAAACGGCTTGCATTTTGTGTGTGTTTTTTTTTTGTAAAACGTGCTGAAGTCAATAAAGGCTTTTACACTTATTTATGATATCAAAGTGTCTCTTCTGTCTTTCAGTCCACCCCTGTGTCTTTCCTAATGCCTTTTTGACCTTTTGTAGCTCTTCTTCTTTGTTCTGTTTTCAATGATCACAACATGTTGCTTCGTTCACCTCACGGCCATGTTTTTAACAACACAATGTGGTATATTTCAGGATTCTTAAGGATGTCCAGTGTTGGAAAAGTAGGAATTGGAAAATAGTTTTCCACGGAATTAATACACAGAACAGTATGTAGTCACGTCCGTGTTCATTCCCCGTCCGCTACGTTGCAAACTGCTGATAAAAAGCCAGCTTGACCCTCTCAATGTGGTGGCACAGCTTGATGGCTGGTCCCAGCTTCAGGTCCATACACTCCTGCACTGTTGGCAGGTTCAGCAGCAGCAGTGCCTGTCCGTCAATCTCCTATGAAAACATTAATCCATATCAGATGCAGTTTCTTGAATTAGTTTTGGCTGGTGAAGTGGTATTTTGTATTTGTGACCATGGATACAATACAAGTGTGTGATGCCCTTATTGCAGTCGCATGGAGTGAGCTCTCATCCTGAGCGGCCATTAAGTCTCTGAGTATTTCTTACCTGATCCAAGAAAATCCGCGCAAGTGGTGCACAGTCGGTGGTCCTGATGAAGCGAACCACATCAGTGACGCTCCACTCCAGGGGGCTGGTGTCCAAACACAACTTCTGAGGAGGCTCGATCTTTGAGGTCTGCAAACGCACACACAGGGTGAGTCAGACAGAGATCTCCCAGCTGAGGTGGAGAGGCTCACAGCTCATGCTGATGAGAAGGGTATCAAACCTGAACATTTCATAAAAGAAACACTGGCTGTTTCAGTTTCGCTGATTTCCTCATTAGCCGGTTCTGGTCACGGTGAAAACATCATTTAAAATGTTTTTGAAACGGCTTAGTTGGGCAGAAGAAAGGCAGCTGTATTTAATGGGAGGGGCATTGTGTATAACATCTTTAATTTTGTACTTTAGGGAATATTTATTTTACGCCCAGTGATACACATTAAGAGTTTTCATTAAAGACACATTGTTTGGAAAGTAAACTTTGATGTAAAAATACCGGAATATGAACATTTTCAAAATATTTCCACATTTATTGATACCTAGTCATTTCAAAAGTCTTGGTGACTTTCGTTACCTTTGGTGAAGGAGGTCGGTTCTCATCATCAGAGAATGAGGGCGAGCGGGGTTTCCTTCTTCGGCGTGTGGGCCTGGGTGTCGCCGGAGGGGAGGGGGACGGCGTGGTGGGCTGAGACTTCCCAAACGATTGTTCAGAATCCTCCTGGAGATCGTCCTGCAGCTCAGAGCCAGAGTCACTCAGGGAGTCATCTTCATCCAGATCTTCTTCCTCTCCGCTGCCCTGTGAGCCAAACACAAGGACAACAAGTCTTTTAGGACAGATTCAAGTGAAGTGTGAGGAAGAATCAAAGTTTACAGTGTTGGTTTAACAGTGATACAACTTATGCTTCCTTTAATATAATGCTTAATGAAGGAAATATGAGTGTGCGAGTGTGTGTTACCTGTGGAGACCCAGCAGGCGTGTTGTCCACTGAGGCTGAGGAGCGTCTCTTTTTGTGTACAAAGAGCTGCTTCCTCCTCTTCCTCCTCCTCCCTCTTCGCTTCACTCCACCCTCCAGGTTGGAGTGGCCCCCGGGTGGACGGCCAACACGTTTACTCTTCTTTTTTCCATAGTAATATGCTTGCGACAAGACAAAAGGCTTATTGTGAAATGACGCATTTCACATGTCTGTAAGATTCTAATACGTCATTTAGATAGGTGGATCTTAAATCGATCAAACTGACGTTATATAGGATGTAAAAGCATGTCTGTGGAGGGTATGTGCTGTCTGGAACGAAATGAAAACATAAGTAAGTGTCTGTTGCTGGCAAATTGCGTCACTTTCTTAACCCCAACACCGCAGTGCAGCATCGAGTAAAAATATCAACAAATCTGTGGCTTTGTGCCATCGAAAAATAGTTCAGCAGAAGACAAAAGAGGCGAATTCTAACACATATTTTCAGCAAATCATACATTCCCTGCCTGCTCGGCAGACTTTCTCTCTTCATTAAGGGTGCACTCGTTGATCATTTCTATTCATAAGGTTTCTGAAAAAAGAGAAATTAATGAGCTGTGTGTTGAATTTGAAGACGTTTGAATAATGTTGCGAACTAAGGTCACAGCTGACAAGCATGTATAGAGATTTCAAAGCTATTACAATCATGGCAATTAGAGGATAGGTTCATTGTCTGCCACCCCAGATCATCTAATTAATCCTTTGAAGTCTCGACAATCAGCAGCCTCTAGTTCTGTAAATCACCTACTGTATTTGGTCTTGGTGAGGACAGAGCAGTTTTCCGAGCAGTGCTCCAGAACCATGCGAGGTCCAAACAGGTTGGGGCAGCACTCTAGCTTGATGCAGGTTTTCCTGCAGAAGTCCGCCACGCGGTCTACAGTGCGGACGATTTCCACAGTGGCCCGGTAACTCTTTCCCTTGTACCTGATATAAAAAAGCAAGGTTGAACCATAAATAATTAGTGAACACCCTTTCGGATTTCCACAGAATATTAGCTTAAAAAGGTATAAAAAGAAAAACGTATTGGACTCGTCCCACTCACTAAACCTCAAATTATGTTCATGTTTGATCTAAAAAGGTTGCAAGGTCTCTCTTAAAAGTAACTCGGATGCTGTCGTCGGCTAAATCACTGCTTTAATGAAGTGTCTTGTGCTGGGTTCTGCTGTGCAGATATTTATTTCCACTTGTGAATTCAAGTACATGTTTAATCCAGTAGCACATTCCGTCTAAAAGGCCAGCTGTAAACACTACAACTATTCCTGCAGGTTCTTTACAGAGTATTTTGAGCTACGGATTAAACGGTGCTTCCCCTCACTTGGCTTTGAGCGTTTCTCCGTGGCCTTGCCAGCGGCTCTCCTGGTCCAGCTGCAGCTCCCTCAGCACTCGGCTGGGCTTGTATGCAGAGTTTATCAGCTGAGACAAAACCTGGATACAGGACATGTAGACAAATTACAACAGTTACAGGTTACCTGCAGGTCCGAGGTTGTCTGTGTTTTAAAATCACAACTGATTGAGCAATTAATGCATCCTCTGGGAACCATGAACGGCTGTACCAAACTTCGTGACGTATTCATACAGTCAGCAGCTGGACTAGCCACACTCACCTCTTTGAGCACGAGGACACAGTTTCCAGGACCAATGAACTGAGGAAGCTCTGCAATGCGTCCCTTGTTAAGGTAAGGCCCAGA